TAAGCTGCCAATCAGACGTGCGATGCTGCTCTATTCCGTTGTTATGGCCACGCAGAGGATAAAAGCGCGCGTCGCCTTCCCGGCGATGGAGCGCACGGCCCAGCGCTGCGCGCCTCGACGGTTCTTTCAAGCGCGAGGAGGAGACGGGATGCGGCATGCGCGGCGACGCACGCACGCATCTGGGCAAAGGCCGCACCACGCGCAAACAGATCTGCCACTTGGTCGACCGTGCGAGCCGATCGCACAAACTTGCGTGCAGATCTTCGTTCGGCTCTGAGCTGCTCGCAGCGCGCGGAGCAGCGGCCCGCCGGCGCGCCCCCCCCCCCCCCCCCCCGACGCTCTTAAGGCCCGCCTCAGCAGATGAGATCAGGGCGCTGAGGGAGTAGGGAGATTGCGTGCCAGCCGAGCTGGTCGCGGACGGCACGTCCGTCTTCTCCGCCCTTGCCGCGGGCCACGCGCGGCCGCCATCGGAGAAGAAATGGCAGGCCACCTGCGGCGGCTGGCAGACCAGCCGCGCACCACACAGTTATCCGACATGCTGTGGTGAGACACCCGCGACGCGAGGGCCGACCCCATGGCGAAGGGAAGTGCCGGCCGGGGGCTCATCCTCGACATCGTGGAATGGACGCTTGCCGACGACCACCCCACAGCGAGGAGGGGCGGGGGGGCGGCGGAAGAAGACGCCGCGGCGACGTCAACAGGGACAACGACGACGCTACTGGGCAACCCGCTCAGCGTCGCACGTCCGAACTGCGTTCGGGAATGCGGCACAGTGCATCAGGGGGGGTATGAGGGTTGTCGCACGTCGCGAACTACGTTCCTGAATGCGGCGTCGTGAGCCGCGCGAGCGCCGGGGCTGTTGCCGCGAATCATGGTCGCGCGTGCCCTTTCTAATAGTCTGCCGTCGGCCTTTCGGTTCGGTCGCGACTGCGACTTTTACGAGGCCGAGCTTGCAGACGACCCCGCGTGCAGCGCAGCTGCCCCCGGGCACCATTTCGGCGCGCCCCTCGCGCGGCTCGCGGCTCCAATGAGAGCTCCACCTAAGGCCCCAGTGGCGCGCGTGGCCGTTATGGTTCAAGCCGCCCCCCCTCTGCCGCGCCCGTTTTGGGCCCCGCGGGAGGTCGCTGAGTTTCGACGGCTCGGGAGGTGGCAGCGGGGGCTGGAGGCCGCGCTGGCGCGAGACGCTTTCCTCGAGAGCGAGCTCGCCGCGCAGGAGGCCAGGCGCGCGGTGGCGGCGGCGCGGGCTCTGCAGCCCACGGCCTCCTCGACGCGCAGCTCTCCGGCGAGATTGCGGCGCGGTCGGCGACGGCAATCCGCGCGCCCTTAGAGGTGATCGAGGGCCCGCAGCGCGCGCGGCCCCCCTCCCTCGACCCCCCTCCTCCCGCGGCCCGCGTCGGAGGCGCCGAGGGGCGCAGCGCGACGACGCGGCGCTGGCGGCGGCCGACAGCTTCACCCCGGACGCCCCCCTGAGCACGCCCTCCTTCGACGCGCCAGGCGCAGAGGCAGGCGCCGGCGCGGGCGCAGCTGCCGCCGCGCCCGCGCGCGACCGGAGCGACGAGCAGTCAGGCGGAGGAGGGCGCGGGAGAGTTGCCATTGCGGCCCTGCCGCCCCTGCCGCGCTTCCGGCGCAACGCGGAGCCTCATTGCTCCGCGAGGAGGGCCGCGAGCATCGTCGCGATGCGGCGGGCCTCCTTCGACCGGTTGCAGCGGGCAGCCCGTGCGCCCGGCCGCCGCCGCAGCGCGCGGCGGGCCGCCCTCGCCCCGCCTCGACCGCGCCTCCGCCAGGCCTCGGTCCGCGCAGCGGCCAAGGCGACTCCTGGCGACTGGGCGGTGGCAGGGCGGCGACGCAGAGCAGCGGTGCCCGCCGGAGCCAGGTTCGCCTTGGCTGAGCGCGTCCGAGGCGCGGCCCCATCTGGTGGACGTCTGACATGGAGTTGGCGGTGAGGGGCCTCTCTCCCCGACCGCCCATGGCGACGGTCCGCCCGTCGATCAGCGCGAGCGGGAGGTCTCTCAGCATTTGGGCTCGGAACACTCGGCGCTGGGCGCAGAACCCGTCGCCGAGCCCGACGAGTCGCCCCTCCTCTCCAACTTCGGCTCGTTGGCCCACGCGCGGAAGCTCGCGCCGCCCGCCTTATTCAATTTTGCCCCCGACTCTTTTCAACTGGTCCTGGGCAGCGGCAGTCACAGGCGGTCGCGCGTGCTCCAGCAGCGCGTGGCGGCGAGCGTTGCGGCCCCTCTCGCCACTGGTTGGTCCGCGGAGCTCTCGGCGGCCCTTGGCCGGCCGCTTCTCGCGCGCCCAGCCGTGCTACGAGCAGGCTCGGCAACTCTGCTCGGTCGCCCCGATGGCTCTGCGCGGTAGTGCAGTAGTGTAGTCCCTTTTGATGGCAGACCGGGGCTCGGCTGAAGCGGGCGATCCTCGAGGGTCGCTTTGCGGCGTCCCCGAATTGCCGTTGGCGCATCTTGAGGGTCTTGCCAGCGTTTCGGCCGACCGATCGCAGTGGGCGCGCGTGGGGCGTGTCCCTTCTTACGTCACATCGTTGATGGCAGTTTTTGTTCAGCGCGCTGTGCGGCCTGAGTTCTTCTCGCGTCAGCATGGCGTTGAGCGTCGCCGGCGTCGCTCGGCTGCAGCTGGTGCCAGCAGCCGCGCCGTGGCTGGCGATGACTGCGTCGCCATCAGCTGAATTTTCCCCGCCCTGGCGGGGGGGCGGCCGAGGCGGTCCCCCCACTTTTGCGGGGGGCGCGGCCAGGCTGATTGCGCGCGCTGTGCTGTCCCAAGTGACGCGGCACACTTCCGCTCCCAGGGAGTGGCTTCGGTGGCCCCCCCATCGGCTTGAGCGCGTCGCGGCCAGGGGGGCGGCGCGGGCCGCGCTGCCCCGGGTGGCGCCGCACGCGCCGCGCCCCTTCCGCTGCGGAGGCGCACGCGCCCCCGCCAACTATGCCAGTGCACCCCTCGCACGGTTCGTGGCCCCATATGCAGCTATACCGAAGGCCCCAGTGGCGATGTTCCCATGCGTCCCCGCCTCCCATTCTCGGCACGCCCCCCACACGGTTTGTGGCCCCATGCGTGACGCCACCGAAGACGATATCCATAATTGGGGTACACATCTGCGAATGGTTGGGTCATTCGCCAGGCTCAGTGAGAGGTCAGCCGAACCCCCTTTTCTGCCCCGCCCAGCATTGTAATTGTTTCAGTGTGGATAGCCTGACGAGTCTCGGTGGTGGTCTGGGCGGCTTGCGTCCGGACTGCCAACGAAGCTCGAGCAGTATGTCACCTTTTGATCATGTTAGGGCAGGTTGCAGTATAGCAGGGAATGCGGGCACGCGGGTGGCGCCAAGGGCATTTGGCTCAAAGCGTGCCTCCCGCGCCCGCTTTAATACACCGCTTTCAAAAATCGTGATTCACTGTCCGAGGAACGACTTTGGTTTTTCCACCATCCGCTTTGCACATGTTTTGTATATCCCTCCTCCTCCCCTCCTCTTCCTGTTCCCCGCCTTCTCCTATTCTTCCTTCCCCTCCCCCAATCCCTCTTTCCCCAAGGCCGCTGATCCCACCTCTTTCCGCCCGTCTTCTCCCTCCTTTTTCCTCCTCTTCCTCCATTCCTTTTCCTTGCAAATAATCTGTCCCGGTCGCACCCCGAGATTAGTTTTTATGGCGGGCCGGGCGTTTCGCCTGAGACTTCCACCATTTATGACCCCGAAGCTCAAAACATGGCAGCAGTTTCGCAGATGGAGGGAGGGCCGTTTTCAAAATGTCGCTCTCGCTTTGGCGGTGCGCACACTCGTTGTCAAAATTTGCAAGAGCTTCACGGATTGAGGGCGGGCCGTTCTTTGAATGTTGTTTTCGCCCGAGCGTTGCGCGCACTCGTTCTTAAAATGTGCAAGAAGTTTGCGGATGAAGGGAGTTGTTTTCAAAGCGTGGCTCTCGCTTTAGCGCCGCGTGAATTGTTTTAACCATGTGCAGGCGTTTCATGGATGGAAGGCGACTCCGTTTCAACATGTGGTTTTAGCCCCCGCGCCGCGTACATTGGTTTTCAATGTTGCAGAAGCCTCACGGTCTCTCATGATCAGCGTATCAGACATGGTTTGTTAGAAGGATTCAGGATTATGATGGGCGCGACAGTTACGTTGATTCGCTGTGTTGACCCAGGAGTGGCGTTTTGGTACGATCTAGGATCGTCAGGACGCTCTAGTCAGGTTGATCCGTGGCTTTGGAATCCCGAGAACAATGTTTTGGCATGGTTCAGGGTCTTCAAACAGTTGTCTTCCAAGGAGGCAGCTCCCTCAGTGGAAATGAACCGTTGTAGGACCCAATGAAGGGGGAGCTTGGAGTTTAGTCCAACATCGTTGATGACTCTTGGGTTTACGCTGGTCCCCATCTTCCTCCTCGTCGTCCTCCCCCTCTTCCTCCTCCTCCTCTCCTCCTTCTCCTCCCCCTCGTGTTCCTCCTTTTTCTTTTCTTTCTCCTCCCCCTCCTCCTATCCTTCCTCCCCCTCGCGCTTGCTACCGGCGCTCGCGGCGGGTCTCCCGCTCCATGGCAGGGAACGAGGTTCGAGGTTTGCAGATGTCTTCGCCGGCTCGCGGCAGTTTTCCAGCCTCGGGATGCGCTCCAGCAGCTGCGCCTCGCCGAGAGGCGTCGTGAGGTATCCGGAGCGTCCCGACCGGCCACCTCGGACTTCAGCTACGATTCGAAAACCATCTCCCCTCGTTGTGAAAGAACACAACGCCAGGGGCGGTTCTGGCTAATTTTGGGCCCTTGGGGCCCCTCGCACCCGTGACCGTCAGAAGACGTCTCGGGATGAAAAAAAGGGGCCCCGGGGAAGGGGACCGGGTCGAGATCTTGGGGCCCACGTTTCGGGAAGAGATAACGGCGTCGGAGTTGTGGCCTTCTATCCTTCTCGTCAGCTAGATCGCAAAAAAACCCGAAGGATTGCAAAAAACCCAGGATTGCAAAACAAAAACCCGGATTGCAAAAAGAAACCCGAAGGATTGCAAAAAAACCCGAAGGATTGTAACAAAAACCCAGGAGTGCAATCCTTCGTCCACATGTCCACCGAGGCCACCGAAGTTGCCGGAGGCCTATGGGAGCCTCTGGGGGGCGCCAAAAAAGCTTCAACGGCCGAGCTGCTCCTCGTCCTCCCCATCTGCCTCCACGCGTATTTTTCTGGCGCCCCGGCGGCACCTTCGGGCGAGGGGCCCGTCGCCGACCCGGTGCCTCCGGCGCGGACCGCTGAAAGTTGAGGTGTGCAGCGAGCGGCGTGAATAAGGAACGCTTTTCAAAAGGGGCTCGGTCGTTCCTTAGGCGCTGAAAGTTGAGGTGTACAGTGAGCGGCTTGAATAAGGAACGCTTGCTTTTCAAAAGGGGCTCGGTCGTTCCTCAGGCTTGCATGCGTTATGCATCGTTCCCTGTGCGTCATGTATGATTTGTTCCGCGTTCCCTGTGCGTTATTCCTTGGAAGAGAGGGGCCTCGTTCCTGATTTATCGTTCCTTAGGTCAGGCCGATGACTGTATGCCGCCTCTTGGTTTTTTCTAGCGAAGGAGACCGAGTGCCGCGTGCTGATCCCCACTGGGCGCCCGGTGGGCTTCTTCCTGCGCGAGTACCCGCGGCTGTTCCAGGACTCGGCCATCAAGCAAGCGGGTCCTGGGTAATGCGGGTCCTGAGGCTTTCGACGACTGCGGGTCTTGGGGCGTTCCTTGGGCCCCCGGGAGCGTCAGAAAACAACGCCAGAACAAAAGCCCGGGTCCAGGGCCCGTTTCCTTCGGGACCCGTGTCTCGCCAAAGGACGCTTGGCTGCGCTTGTTGGCGCTGCCAGCGCCGCTGGAGCAGTGCAAGCCGCTGTTCCAGTTCCTGCCCAGCCACGTCATGCCCTTCCTCAGTAAGCCGCTCATGCTCGCCGATTTCTACCTGCGCGCCTTCTCTGGCGCGTCCGCAGAGGTGAGCGTGCTGTCACTGAGCGGCCTGCTCCTGCTACTCACGAAGTACGGTCTGGGCGACCCCGATACCCTCTCGGCCTCCGCGAGCGAGTTCTACGCGAAGCTCTACGACCTCGTCCGGCCAGAGACGCTCCGGCTCCGCAGGCGCGCGCGCTTCCAGCGCCTGCTGGCCGCCTCCCTGAGCAGCGGCTTACTGCCCGCACGCTTCGCGGCCGCGTTCGCGAAGAGGTGCATGCGGACCGCCGTGCTGTGCCAGGACTCGGGGTCGGTGATGTGGCTGCTGTCGGTCGCCTACACCCTCATCCAGAGGCACCACAGCCACTGCGAGTTCCTGATCCACCGGCGGCCCGAGAAGGCCGGCGGTGAAGAGGCTCCCTCCACCCTGCAGGAGGACCCGTTCGACGCGGGCGCGGAGCTGCCGGCGGCGGTGGAGTCGGTGGCGGGGTCCTCGTTGTGGGAGCTGCAGTTGCTCCGTCGTCATCACTCGCCGGCCGTAGCCACGCTGACGAAGTTGTTCCTGAAGCCGTTCTTTCGGCCGACGGCCAAGAAGCTGGACCTGGAGCTGATGCTGGAGCAGAGCACCGCGAGGCTCTACATGCAGGCGCTGAAGGCTGGCGAGCGGCAGGCTTCCCGATGGAAGTTCCGCGGTGAGACTTGCCCGCTGGCGTTCAAGGTCCAGGACTCGAGCAGTGGCGAAGCGTCCTGGCTTGCCTATAGGCCCACCAAAGAATGTTCTAAGAACCTTTTGTGGTCTGCGCGAAATGTTCTTAGAACATTTCTGGCCGAGACTGTTTTAACACATCGGGTTTATGTTCTAGGAACATTATTTCTGTTCTTAGAACATTTCGGGGTTCTAATAACTTTTGGTGGTAGGCCTATAGGATTGCGGGGACGGACGGTCCCTGCTCAAAGGACGATGAGGAGGCGAACCGCGTCGCCGGCTGGGCGTCCGCTCTGTCGACGGAGCAGCGGCGCATCGGGGCTGGCAAGTAGGCGCGAGGGGCGTGGGCGCTCGGAGGGGTCGCCAGGCAGCGCGCGGAGCGATGAGAAAGAAAGCGCCGTAAGGATTGACCACCGTCGTCTCCACGACCAGCCCTTCACGGAGATTCGGTGGGGGGGTCGTCCGATGGCTATTCGTTCTTCTTGATGTAGAGGTGGTAGATGGAGATACAGAGGGATATAGAGAGAGAGAGCAAAACAAAAGCAAAGAGAAACACGCCTTGCGTGTCAGAGGTGCATGGAAAGGAAGATGGCGCAGCCGCGACCGTTGCCGCAGCCGGGTGCGTTGCAACGCTCTGGATGTTGTTTCACAACATGGGAAGGCGATGAGATGGGGAAGTGGGGGGAGGCGCTGGGGGAACGGCGAGTCAAGACGAGACGACGGCGGTGACGAGACGAGACGAGCCGACAAAGCGATACTGTGGCGATGGCGAATTTTCCATGGAGGAAGCCAGCGTGACCCCAAGCAGGGCTTTTATTTTTCTTGGAATCTGGCTAAATAATGTTTGTATATCCGTAAGGGCTTCGCCCCCATGCCGCTGGCCCCCCTCTCTTAGAATGGGACTTGCCAGAGCTCCGTTGCGATGTCCGGACGCTGACGTGAAGCAATGTCGGGACTTCACAAACTGGAATATCTCACAACTACGAATATTGCAAAATTGTTGAACGGTTTATGGCTTCGAGGGCGCGAATATTGTGCAATGTGCGATGGATTATGGCGGGGACTCGAATCTTGCAATTTACTAGGGTTTATGGCCTCGAGGACGTAACTCTTGTGTAATGTACAAGGTTGTATGGCTTCGGGGACGCGAATTTGTATAATTTACCAGGGTATATGGCTTCGAGAGCGCGAATATTGTTTAATTTAAACGGGTTTATGGCCTCGGGGGCGCGAATCTTGTGTAGTTTAAGGCAATGTATGGCGTCGGGGACGCAACCATTGTGTAATTTGCAAGGGTTTATGGCTTCGTGGACGCAAACGTCGCGTAATTTGCATGGGATTATATGGCTTCGGGGAGGCGAATACCGCGTACTTTACAAGGTTTATGGCCTCGCAGACGCGAGTATGCGTAATTTGACGGGGATTGTGGTCTCGGGGACGCGAACATCAAGTTTTTGTACGTGTCCCACGCCCCCCCAGGAATTCTGTGAACCTTCCCACGGCGTGGTAACAAATTCCGTTTGGGGCTCCCACCCTTCGCGCGGACAGAGTAGGAAGCAGAAAGCAGGATTGTAAGAGTGGAAATTGGAAACTGCAACTGGAACAAGGAGCTGCAATCCTCACAAGGGTGCCGGCGGAAGTCTATGATGTGTATACGTATACGTATACGTATACATACATACATACATACACGCCCCCCTTGGGAGCGTCCCACACCTCCGGAACATCTAGGGGCAATTCCCGGTAGTGATTGTTTTTGTTATGCTTTGTTTTGCCGATCGGCGCGGGCCCCCAACCCCCCCCTCTCCCTCCTGGAGTAGATCCCCACCCCTCTAAGCAGAGGTTTGGAACCAGACCCCCCCCCCTTCCACCCAATATCGAAACGCCGAATAAAAAAAAACGCTCACGTACCGCGCCCCAGGGCATTCCGAGGAACCCCCAAAACGCTCCAGGACGGCCCAAGACGCTCCCAAGGGCCCCCCAGCACGCGAAAGGACAACCCAAGACGCTCCCAAGTAGCCAAAGACAGACTTCGGACGGCTCTCCAGGCTCCCGGGAGGCCTTCAAGAGGCCCCAACAGAGCTCCGAGAGGCTTCCCGGGATTGCCCGAATAGGCCGCATCGTTGATTCGCATTGTTATTTTGTCAGATTTGTTTTTGCCTTCTCGCGTTTTCGAGCTTCCAACGCTTCAAAACGGCTGAAAAAAAGGCCCCCAAGACCGCCCCAAGACCGCCCGAGAGCCCCCAAGACAGCTCCACGACGGGCCAAGAGGGCCCCAAGACTGCCCAAGAGCGCCCCGAGGCCTCCCAAGAGAGCACCAAGATGGCCCAAAACGCCGCCCAACTTGGGGAACGCAAATCAACAATCCGGGCTTTCCGCTCCAAGAGGGCCCCAGGAGGCCCCAAGAGTCCCCCAAGGAGCCTGAAGAGGCCCCCACGAGCCCCGAAGATCCTTGCGCACTACATGTCAGGAGGTCCCACTTGAAAACAAAAGGGGAATTCCAGTGATTATCTTTTGTTCAAGTTCATCCCGAGCCCCATCAAGATTTCGGGGTCACATTGCAAAGATTTTTCGGGAATGCTGTTGAACTCTCTGACGCTGTCCTGGCGCTCTCCTGAGTCGTCTTCGTGTCGTCATGGTTGCCCCTGAAACCACCGTAAACATCGAGCTCCCATTGAGTTCACCTTTACAGCCTAGCTAGCTAGAACGTCAGCGCGCACGCCAAGAAAGAGACAACAGATGGGACCTCCCAAAGCCTTACGAGCGCTTTGCCCCGAGGTGGCTCCAAGGGTTCTCCCAGAGGCTCTCGAGGCGCCATTTGGGTGCCCGCGGAGACTCGCGGGGAGGCTCCCAGGGAGGGAGGCACCAGGGCCCCCCCTCAAAGAGGCCCCGAAAGACCTCCAGGGCGAGGCCAAAAAGGGCCCGAGGGCCATCCCAACCGACCCTGGCCCGTATCCAGGAGACTTCTTTCCCGTAGCCCAAGCATGGCAATTTTCAGGGGCGGCCAAGAGGGGGCGATGACTAGGGGGGGGGTGGATATCATGGCGTGGGACATGACATTTCCTCAGATTTCATGGCGCCTCTTCTTATTTCATTACTTCCCTGGGACCCCCCCCCCTGGGCCGCGCACATGCCGCCGGCCATGATTTGCACCCCCCATCTTGGACGCCCCGTCTCTCGACGAGCGCGTTCCACTACTCGCAAAGTAACTACTCGCAAATGGCCTGCATCCGTCAGGGGGAATCTACGAGAAATGTCATCGAAGCAGACGTGTATGTTTCGGACGTTTGCGAGTAGGCACTTTGCGAGTAGTGGAACGCGCTCGGCGAGTCTTGGCCGCTCTCGAGCATGGCAATTTGAAAAAAGGGCATTCTCAGAATCCCTTTTTTTCAAATTCGCCCCCCCCCCCCCCCCTTCACGCTACTCTTGCACCAAAGGCAACGATTATGGCCCCCGTCACAGGCCAAGAAAGACCCATGGAAGCCAAGGACCCAGAAAGGCCGTCAGAAAAGGAGAGCCCCTGAGTCCACCTGTCCAGCCCAGCTAGACCTTCAGCGCGCGCGCCAAGAGAGGGCCAAAAGAGAGGACATGCCCAAGCCTTTCGAAGGCTTTGCCTCAAGATGGCTCCAGAGACTCGAGGCGACCCCCAGATGCCTTCAGAGACTCCCGGGAGGCTCCCAGGAGGCACCAAGAGCTTTCCAACCCCGAAAGACTCCCAAGACGCCGAGACGCTGCGACGCCGCGACGGCCCAGGCATGGCAATTTAAAAAAGACAGGAGTTACAATAATTCCCGCTCTTCAAACTGAACCCCCTGCTTATTCTTGCACAACAGACCATAATCAAGGCCCCCGTTCGCGATCGGCGCGGGCCCTCGCACCCCGCCTCCCCCCCCTGGAGTGGTCTTGGCTGTTTTGGGCGCCTGTTTGGAGCAGGTGGAGTCTTCCCCATGGGACGCACTGCTGCAAACAGTGCTTGGACTGAAGGGGTCCTAGCGGATATTGAAGGATTTGGCGACAGTTCCGATCCGACTTCGGTGGGCGGCGGGGTTCCCGGTTGACCGGGTTCCCGTGTTCCTGGTTCCGGATTTTTGGCTGATTTCGGTGGGCGGCGGGGTTTCCGGATTCTTGGGTTCTTGGTCGATCTTCTTATCGATCGGTCTAACCATCGATCTCATTACCCACCTCTCTATCGAACTCACAATCGATCTCACTATCGATCTCACCAGCAATCTCACTACAGATCGCACGAGCGATCTCGCGATCGATCTCATTACCGATCTCGTGGAATCGACTTCCCTCTTGGTCTCACGATCGACCTTACGATCGTCCTCACTATCGATTCCACTATCGAGATCACGATCGATCTCAATACCGATCTCAAGATCCAGAATACTATGTTTCAAACCATCCACTGATGGGGGCTTCTCTCTGGTGTAATCGTATGCATCGGTTTGCCGATCGGCGCGCGCGCCCCCGCACCCCGCCTCCCCCCTTTCCCCCATGGAGTGATTCTTGGCTGTTTGGGGCGCCTGTTTTTGGCTGCTTCCTCCTCGCCCTCCTCCTCGCTTTCGGCCTCCTCCCCCTCGTCGTCCTCCCCCCCCTTCGCCGCCGCCGTCGTCGCTGTCGGTGTCTGCACGGCGTCTTCTTGTTTCGCAGCCGCGCCTCCGGCAGCGGAGCTTGCCGTTTCACGTATTTGCCAACGCACCTCTGACGTGCACGGCGCTTCTCTCTCGTTCGAGCAGGTGGAGTCTCCCCCATGGGACGCACTGCTGCAAACAGGCGCACTAAGCAGAGGTCCGGAGCCAGACGCCCCCTCCCCGTTCCCCGCCCCCTTCCCCCAAGGTCGAACCGCCGAATGAGAAAACGTTCGCCAAGAGGCAATTCTTGTTTTTCATCCCCCTGCGATGCCAGGCGTGACGGGATAAGGGGGGGCAAGGGACCCAGACATCCAGCGTCTTGAAAACAAATCGAGACGGGGGGCTTTTCATCGTCTTCGGCCTCTCGGGGACCGAGCGGGCCGTCCAAATACGACTCGGGATGATTAGCCTGACGAAGGACCCAACCATATGCAGTTGCGAGTACCGCATTGTGTGTACCGGTTTCGGTGGAGCTCCCTATGGGGCCACGAAGCGTTGTCCTGCGTGGCGCTGACGCATGCGGCCTCTGCCACTGGACTCTTCGGTGGAGCTCCCTATGGTGTCACGAATCGTTGTCCTGGGTGGCGTCGACGCATGCGGCCTGTGCACGAAGCGCTGTCCTGGGTGGCGTTGACGCATGCGGCCTGTGCCACTGGAGCCTTCGGTGGAGCCCCCTGTGGGGCAACGGAACGCGTCCTGGGTGGCGTTGACGCATGCGGCCTGTGCCACTGGAGCCTTCGGCGGAGCTCCCTGTTGGGCCACGAAACGCTGTCCTGGTTGGCGTTGACGCATGCGGCCTGTGCCACTGGAGCCTTCGGTGGAGCTCCATATGGGGCCACAAAGCGCTGTCCTGGGTGGCGTTGGCGCATGCGGCCCGTGCCACTGGAGCCTTCGGTGGAGCTCCCTGCGGGGCCACGAAACGCTGTCTTAGGTGGCGTTGGCGCATGCGGCCTGTGCCACTGGAGCCTTCGGTGGAGCTCCCTGTGGGGACACAAAAACGCTGTCTTGGGCGGCGTCGACGCATGCGGCCTGTGCCACTAGAGCCTTCGGTGGAGCTCCCTATGGGGCCACGAAGCGCTGTCCTGGGAGGCGTTGACGCATGCGGCCTGTGCCACTGGACCCTTCGGTGGAGCTCCCTATGGGGTCACGAAACTCTGTCCTGGGTGGCGTTGACGCATGCTGCCTGTGCCACTGGAGCCTTCGGTGGAGCTCCACATGGGGCCACGAAACGCTGTCCTGGTTGGCGTTGACGCATGCGGCCTTTGCCAGTGGAGCCTTCGGTGGAGCTCCCTATGGGGCCACGAAGCGCTGTCCTGGGTGGCGTTGACGCATGCGGCCTGTGCCACTGGAGCCTTCGGTGGAGCTCCCTGTGGGGCCACGAAACGTTGTCCTGGGCGGCGTTGACGCATGCGGCCTGTGCCACTGGAGCCTTCGGTGGAGCTCCCGATCGGGCCACGAAACGCTGTCCTGGGTGGCGTTGACGCATGCGGCCTGTGCCACTGGACCATTCGGTGGAGCTCCCTATGGGGCAACGGAACGCTGTCCTGGGTGGCGTTGACGCATGCGGCCTGTGCCTCTGGAGCCTTCGGTGGAGCCCCCTGTGGGGCAACGGAACGCGTCCTGGGTGGCGTTGACGCATGCGGCCTGTGCCACTGGAGCCTTCGGCGGAGCTCCCTGTTGGGCCACGAAACGCTGTCCTGGTTGGCGTTGACGCATGCGGCCTGTGCCACTGGAGCCTTCGGTGGAGCTCCATATGGGGCCACAAAGCGCTGTCCTGGGTGGCGTTGGCGCATGCGGCCCGTGCCACTGGAGCCTTCGGTGGAGCTCCCTGCGGGGCCACGAAACGCTGTCCTGGGTGGCGCTGACGCATGCGGCCTGTGCCACTGGTGCCTCCAGTGGAGCTCCCTGTGGGGCCACGGCATTGACGCATGCGGCCTGTGCCACTGGTGCCTTCGGTGGAGCTCCATATGGGGCCACGAAGCGCTGTCCTGGGTGGCGATGACGCATGCGGCCTGTGCCACTGGAGCCTTCGGTGGAGCTCCCCATGGCGCCACGAAACGTTGTGCTGGGTGGGTGAAACGCAGGGAGGTGACGAGGCGGAGGGGAGGAGGGAGGAGGGGGAGGAGAGGACAGGAGAGGAGATGAGAGGAGGGGAGGAGACGCGGGGCGTTGTCTCTTCAAAAAGAGGACCCAACACCACAGGTGGTCGAGAGGTCGGGTGCCCGTGTGGTCGAAAAATCGAAACGTCGGATGTCAAGGGGGTGGGGGCGGTCGCGCCGCAGCCGCCTGGCAACGGTCTGGAATCGCTCGTTCCCCGACGGCGCTGGCGCGAATCGTAACGTGACCAGGGGATTTTGGGAGGGAGGGTGGTGTGCGAGGGAGGGTGGTGTGCCCGCGAAGAATTATATAAAGGGTGTGATTTGTAGTCACCGGAGCAAGGGGCCATGATAATGCCAGGGCTTCCCGTATCGCCAGACACTCAACAAAGGATGCACGGACGAGGGCCGCCAGATACTTCCCGGAACTACTGGGGCGCACCCTGAGCCCATCGCATCACGACACCGCTCTCGTTCTACAGGCGTGGTTTTTCCCAAACATTCCCTCGGAGATCATAGATGTGTAGGTATGTATCAACAGTTTTTAATCGGCGCGTTGGAGACCATCGGATGTTGCGCCTTTAGCTCCCAGCAAGCACCTCGTCCTGCAAGGCACTCCCCAGCGGTGCGACGACGATCGCGCCTCGAGTGGAGCGGCCTGGGCTGGAGGGCTCTCCCTCTCCAGGGCGGCATCGCGTGGGCCGCGGGGCTCGGGCCCGAGGGTCGCCCTGCGGCCGCGCGCGCCCTCTGCGGCGCTCTGGGGGGCGACGGCGGCGCCGCGGCTTCTTGTCCCCAGCTCTCGCTCGGTTCGTGTTCCGGCCCCGGGCTTCCCCAGGATGTCGGAAGGCCTCGTCGAGAGTGTGTTCCACCTCGGAGTGCTTTCCAGAAGCTGTGCCTCGCCGAGCGATCCGGGGGGGCCCAGATCCTCCAGAACGGCCGCCGGAGACCCGAGTCGTGAGACGAGAGCCCCGGGGTCTCAGGTCGCCCGCAGGGGCGCGAAGAGGATCGCGTGTCGCGCATCGCGGTCTGGGCCGGAGCGGCAGCCCTTGTCCCAGGGGCCGGCGCGAGGGCCGCGGCGTCGAGCTGGCCTGGGCTTCCTCGGGGCACGGACCCCCGCGTGGCTCCCGAGCCTCGACCCAGAGAGATCCCGGCCCAGCACGCACGCGAGCCCTGGCGGCCCCTGCGAGCGTCTGCGAGGTGGATGCAGCCCGTCCTCCTTCTTCTGGGCTCCATGCACGGGGTCCGCGCTGTGGCTCGGGTCGTGAAATCGCGTGTCCCCCGGGGGGCCCCGAGGCGGGCCTCCCGCGGCCCTGCGGGGCCCCCGCTCGAGGCAGGGCCCCGCAGGGGCGCGGGGCCCTCCCCCCGCCCGGCCTCCCCCCCCCCCTCCCCCGCAGGGGGGGCGGGCCCGGCCCGGCCCGCCCCCCCCCCCGGCCCGCACCCCCCCGGCCTCCCCCCCGCGACCCGACCGGACCGCCGAGGGCCCAGTCGCCCATATTCAGGAGGGGAGGCAGACCGTATCCTGTGATGTGATGCGTGTGATGTCTGTCCGTCTCCCTGGGGGGGAAGTGTGATGCGTGAGGTCTGTCCGTCTGGCCCGAATCCTGGGGGGTGCCCGTGATGCGTGTGTATGTCTGTCCGTCTCCCTGGGTCTGCTCTGGAGGTGGAGGTGGATCGGGGGGGTTGGGAACAACGACAGGGGGGGGATGGGGCGACAGGGGTCTGATAGCCCCACCCCGCGCAGGAGCGTGCGGACTCGCCATCGCAGGCTTATCGCCGATCTATCGGCAATGCATCGCCGATTGCAGGTGGATGTCCCCCCCTGACCGAGTTTCCCCCGCATCGCTGCCCCGGGCCCGCCAGGCACGGAGGAGGGCGGAGGGAGAACCCCCGAGGCCCTCGAGGCAGGCCCGCCCCTCGGGCCGCCTCCCCTCGGCCTCCCGCCCCCCCCCCCCCACTTCCGCCCGCCGCCCCTCGCGCGGCCCGCTCTCGGCTCGAGCCAGTCCCGGCCACGCCGCGCCTCGCCCTGGGGATCGGGGCGGCCCCCGCCAGGCTCTTCTGCAGATGCTGGCCGCTGGAGTGCGCCACACGGTGCTGCTCAGGAGCGACGGCACCGCCGCGGCCTGCGGCTTGAATGGTGATGGTCGGTGCGACCTGCCGGCGCTGCCCGCGGGCCTGACCTACACGCAGGTCGCCGCTGGAGGGGGCCATACGGTGCTGCTCAGGAGCGACGGCACCGCCGCGGCCTGCGGCTTGAATGGTGATGGTCAGTGCGACCTGCCGGCGCTGCCCGCGGGCCTGACCTACACGCAGGTCGCCGCTGGAGTGCGCCACACGGTGCTGCTCAGGAGCGACGGCACCGCCGCGGCCTGCGACTTCAATGGTGATGGTCAGTGCGACCTGCCGGCGCTGCCCGCGGGCCTGACCTACACGCAGGTCGCCGCTGGAGGGGGCCACACGGTGCTGCTCAGGAGCGACGGCACCGCCGCGGCCTGCGGCTTGAATGGTGATGGTCAGTGCGACCTGCCGGCGCTGCCCGCGGGCCTGACCTACACGCAGGTCGCCGCTGGAGGGCGCCACACGGTGCTGCTCAGGAGCGACGGCACCGCCGCGGCCTGCGGGCGCAATCGTGATTGTCAGTGCGACCTGCCGGCGCTGCCCGCGGGCCTGACCTACACGCAGGTCGCCGCTGGATTGGGCCACACGGCGCTGCTCAGGAGCGACGGCACCGCCGCGGCCTGCGGCTTGAATTTTGCTGGTCAGTGCGACGTGCCAGCGCTGCCCGCGGGCCTGACCTACACGCAGGTCGCCGCTGGAGGGGGCCATACGGTGCTGCTCAGGAGCGACGGCACCGCCGCGGCCTGCGGCTTGAATGGTGATGGTCAGTGCGACCTGCCGGCGCTGCCCGCGGGTCTGACCTACACAGAGCACTTGCTTCCAGCGCTTCTCCTGCAGGCGTCGCTCGATACTGACTCGATGGTGTTCGTGACCTTCGGTGGGGTGGAGCGCTGCAGAATCAGGGCGGCGCCCACCGCCCGCCTCAGGGACATCTACCTCCAGCTCGCGGCCGAGCACCGCGCGGGCAGGAGACCATTTCTGTATTGCTTGGGGCATGACGGGCGTCATGGCCCCCCGCCCCCCACCCCTATGACGTAACGCTCCCCCGCAGTGCGCTCTGGGCACTGCCGCCGTGCGTATTGGGATCCGCGTATGTGTCCGCGCAGGAATCTTTATAGGAGTCTGGTCCGCAGTCGTCGTCGTCGTCGTCGACGTCGTCGTCGTCGTCGCTCGTGGCTCGTGGCTCGTCGCTCGTCGCTCGTCGCTCATCGTCGTCGTGCGCGCGGACGCGGCTGGAGCATTTTTTTTCATATATATATATATATATATATATATATATATATAATATATATATATATATATTATATATATATACTATAAATATTCATATATATATATATAATATATATATATATTATTCCGGGCCGATGACTGCAATCATTCCGGGGGGGTGGAGGGGGTTGATGACGTCACGCTTCGCGCCGGCGGCGCCGGGGAATGCTTAGGAATGACGGAGGACGGGTGGCACCAGCATGTAGTTGGCGATTTGCACCACAACGCCTGTGTACACCTCAGTGTTTGCGTGCACCACAGCGCCTGTGTACACCACACCTCCTATGTACACCACGGCAGCCGCATGCAACACAGCGTCAGTTTGTGCTTCCGCGCGCGCGGGCACAACAGTTTTTGTGTAAACCACAGCGCCTGCGTACACCACATCAGCCGTGTGCAACACAGCAGTGTACACCACAATGCGTGTGTGCATTGCAGTGCCTGTGTGCACCACGGCGTTTGTGTGCACCACAGCAACCGTGTGCAACACAGCAGCACTATTGTATGTAGAACGTTAAAAGGAACCATTATGACAAAATGGAGCGTTTGTGGGACCCACCGAAAACACAAGAAAATAATCCTTATGGACAAGGGAACGCCAGGGGAATCTACGAGTCCTTCCGAGGTCACCCGCAAGACAAGGACGACGATGGACCCAGTTTAGTACCCGGCAACGTTGAACACTTCACACTGGCAGAGTTGCGGGAGCAGCTAAAAAGTTTCGAGGATGGGAGGTGTTGCGATCAGGACGGCATATGTGCCGAGATGTTGAAACATGGTGGCGGCACCATGGAGGCTCTCCTTTTGGATTTGTGCAATAACATGATTTCACCGACGGCCCTTTCGCCCGAATCCTGGAAGCATTCAATTGTGACAGTGCTGCACAAATCTGGGGATTTTGCAAACGCCAAAAACTACCGGCCAATCACAATTACCCCTCTGCTGTACAAGATGTTTGCCAAGCTGCTGTGCGGCAGGCTTTACCCGCTTTTGGATAAACATCAAAACATGGACCAGGCCGCCTTCAGAAAAGACTTCAGCACAGTTCATCATATGTTTTCTGTGTCGCCTCTTCAAGAAAAGTGCCACGAATGGAGACAGCAATTGTGGATCGCAGCGCTGGACTTTAAGAAGGCGTTCGATTACGTCGAGCACACATGTTTGTGGCAAACTCTTGCAGAACGACGCGTTCCTTCCGGATACATATTGCTCCTCCAGAAGCTCTACGCAGGGCAGACTGCCAGAATGCGAACGGATTGCATGAGTTAGCCTTATGATATACATCGCGGCACTAAGCAAGGGGACCCCCTCAGCACTCTTTTTTCTTTCAATTCTCTGCTTGAGAGCGTTGTCCACAAAGTCAAGCAGAAGTGGCTTGCTAAAGGCTAGGGCTTAAAGATGGGCTACACTGACCTCACGCAGCTCACCAACTTGTGTTTCGCGGACGACATCCTGCTCGTCGCAGCCACTCTGCGGCAACTCAAGGCTTTGCTGAAGGATATTACAAACGCAGCCACCAAAATTGGCCTCGAGCGCCACCCTGACAAGACGAAGGCCCCGAGCAACACGACCCAGGGCACTGGCAGGCCGAAGGAGACGAACGCAACCACTGATGGTATGCAAATTCTCCCCTTCAGTGGCAGCGTCAAGTAACTCGGCCGGCTGGTGGGCTTCGACCGGCCCCACGACGTCGAGATCGATAACCGTATTCGTTGTGCTTGGAAGTGCTTCATGCAGCACCGAGCAGAATTGACTGACCGGTAGTATTCTTTGAATTCAAGATTCAGGTTATCCGACAGCACAATCACGACAACGATGTTGTATGGTTCTGACACGTGGGCACTGACAAGCGAAATCGAGGACAAGGTAAGAAGAACGCAGAGAAAGATGCCACGGACGATCGTCCGTGCGAGCAGGCGGGGACATCGCGCTGGAGAGCGACCCGCGTCATCATCACCCACGTCATCTTATTATTTCTCGTCTTCCTCCTCTTCTGCAAGTGAGAATATATTTCTGGAGCCATGGGCAGATTTCATGCAACGGACAAGGGATGCGGAGCGCCGTGCGTCAAAATTGGGACTTCGTGATTGGATCGAGGGGCGCCGCAAATCTGCCCGCAAATGGTTGCGCCGAATGTATTCGGGGGAGCGTTCTTGGGCGAAAACAATATTTCAATGGGAGCTGGTTGGCTGCGCGCGACGCCAAGAGCGGCCGCGGAAACGCTGGTACGACGCCACAGTCAACTTCAAAGATTAAGGCGCTGAGGCGCCCCCGCCGCGCCCCTCGTGGGCCGCCCCTCCTGTGGGGCGACTGTCTGCGCTCTGTCTGTCTCTGTCACCGTAACTCCTCCCATCTGCGCCCAGGAGGCCCCAGCTAAATTGGCCGTCCGAGAACCAAGTGGGCCGATTCAATCGACCATTCTGCGGCGCGCGCTGAGTTGCGCGCGCGCGCTGCAGCGCCAACTCGCACGACAGGGGGCAAGGAGGAGGAGGAGGAGGAGGAAGAGAAAAAGGAGGAGAAGGAGGGTGGAAGTGGAGGAGAAGGGAAAAGGGACAAACGTCGCATTCGATGATCAGCACTTTCCGGGCGTGGCGCTTCCGCAGCAGACCTTCGCGCACAGGCTCCTTTTACCTGTCCTATGCACGCAGGCACTGTGGTGTACAATAGCGCTGCGTTGCACGCGGATGCTGCGGTGTAGACAGGCGCTGTGGCGTGCGCAGGAGCCGCGGTGCACGCAAGCATTGTGGAGTACACAGGCGCTGCGTTGCACATGGTTGCTTCCGGTGTGCACATGCGCACCGGCTCTGTAGTGCACGCAAGCGCTGGAGTGTACACAGGCGCTGCGTTGCACAGGGTTATTGCGATGTACGCAGGCGCTGTGGTGTACACGCGCGCTGTGGTGCACGCGAACGCTGTGGTGTACGCGCGCGCAGGGGGGCAGATCGCCACATACATGCTGCTCGCGTCGTCGTCGTCGTCGTCGTCGTTGTCGTCGTCGTCGCTTGTCGCTCGTCGCGTCGTGCGCGCGGGCGCGGCTGCGGTGCAGAGCCACGCGGCGGGGGGGGGGGGCGTCACGTCGTGCCCCTCCCCCGCCCCCCCCCATGACGCCCGTCATCGCCAAACATAAAGAATCGCTCTCCAGGCTTGGCCCCAGAGCCTGGCGCGTCGAGGCCATTTTGCCGGGAGGCCGCCCGCTCAGCATCGCCGCGGCCGAAGCGACGGTCGCCGGCGCATCCGCCGCAGCCGCTGCTGCCGAGGCGACCCTCGGATAAACAGCGCGCGCGCCGTTTGCCGACGCGATGCGGCCTTCCAGGAGCGAAACGGCGTCGTATTTTGTTTTATGGGTGCCGCGATTTCCAGATGCCCTCCTCCCCCGCGACGTCCTCAGTGCAGGGCTCTATGGTAAAAAAAGGTCTGGACCTTTCTCCCGGGGCCCGCCCCCCCCGATAGTCATCTTGTGGACGGCCCAGGGGGCCCGGCGAGGAGGGGCACAGAGGCCGCGCGCCGCGGAGCACCTCCGCTTCGAGTTGCTCGAGGCGCGGGGGAGGAGGAGGAGGAGGAGGAGGAGGAGGAGGAGGAGGAGGAGGAGTCCAGGAGGAGGAGGAGGAGGGAGGAGGAGGAATAGAGGGAGGGAGGAGGAGGAGGAGAGAGGAGGAGGAGGGAGGAGAGAGGAGGAGGAGGAGGGAGGAGGAGGAGGAGGAGGAGGCAGGAGGGAGGAGCAGGAGGAGGAGGAGGAGGAAGAGGAGGAGGAAAAAGAAAAAGAATAATAATAATATTCATAAGTAGCAGAAGAAGAAGAAGAAGGAGAATAATGATCAGAAAAAGAAGAAGAAAAAGAGGAACAGGAGGAGGAGGAGGAGGAGGAGGAGAATCAGGAGGAGGATCAGGAGGAGGAGGAGGAGGGAGAGGAAGGGGACGGGTGGGAGGAGGAAGAGGAGGAGGAGGAGGAGGAGGAGGAGGAGGGAGGAGGGAGGAGGGAGGGAGGAGGAGGAGAAGGAGGAGGAGGAGGAGGAGGAGGAGGAGGAGGATGACGAGAGGAGGAGAGGATCAGGAGGGAGGAGGAAGAGGAGGAGGAGGAGCAAGAGGAGGAGGAGGAAAAACAGGAGGAAGAAAGGAGGAGGAGGAGGAGGAGGAGGAGGAGGAGGAGGAGGAGGGGGCCGTAGCCATTTGGTTTTAGGCTTGAAATCCACGTCGCGGGGTTTCGAACCGAGGTTCCCGCAGCTGTGCGACAACTATCAATGGGGGGTGCCTGACGCAACCTTTTCGGTGTAGCAGCGCCAGCTGTCACCCCACCTTCATTTCACGTTTCCTCTCCCCTCGACCGCGATGGGGGAACCTCAGCAGAAAGGGTCTGGTGTCCGTACTCATGCGGCTTGTGGCTATCGTTGGAAGTGGCGTAAACACGCGTCCTGCTGGCAATGTGGGAAGACGCTTCGTCCCGCAGCAACCGTTTGGCCCAAACAAGGTACAGGCGGATGGGCCTACGGTCCGCCAGTTCCGCCCTCACCGTCAGGCCGCAGTCTTTGTTTCACCATGGTGGGTGCAGGCATGGGAGCAGCTCCAGGAACGTGGACTGCGACAGGTTGCCTGAAGGTCCCAGCTTCGTCACCATTCGCCCCGACTACCCAGCAGCTCCTCGAGGCGCCCAAGACCACCCTGAAGCCGATACGGAACTCGGCCAGAACTTCAGTGCGAACACGAACTCAACCAAGCTGGAGTCAAAGCGCGGAAGGCAGCGGAAGCACTTGATCGGACAGCCAAGGATGAAGCAGAATGTCGTGAGTATTTGGCCAGAGTTGAAGCCGACGCTTTGGAGAAGGCAACGCTTGAGTACGAGCGAACGACGACCCCGCAGTGCTCCAGCCTCCAGGTGCCCCCATCAATCTCTCCGAAGTGCTCGGCGCCACGAAGGAAAAGGAGCTGTTGAAGGTTCTCAACTTGGAGGACGGCGCCAGCTTTGACACGTCGGAGCTTGAGTTATCCAACGAAGAACTGTCAGTATGGAAAAAAGACGAAGAGCTTTTTGACAAAACAAAATTTCAAACTTTCTTGTGGCAACAATTGGACTTCGGCCCAGACTCTTGTGGAGAGAAAGAATCAGTTCGAGGAGTACAATGCCAGGATGGCCACCAAACGTCGTCGCACGGGTGGGCAGGCGGAGAAGACATACCAGTTTTTGAGGCAGTTGAAGGTGGAGATACAGGTTCGGCATGTGCACCATCTTCACAGTTGCAGGTGGTGGAGCCAGAGAACACCACCGCTTCGGAGGAGCAGGTCATGGCCACCATGGGGGCGGCCGACGCCAAGCTTGCTCGGTCCCAGGAAGAAGATCAGGATCTTTAGCAGCTAGCGCAGGCAGTCAATCTCACGCTCGGCGGCGCAGAGGTGCTGGGCATGTTTTTAGGTTTTATTTCGCGAATTACACGAAGTGGAATGAGCGTGGCAGCGTCTACTAGGCTGCATAGCATATGCATAATGTTCCGCCACACATGGGCGCCGGAACTCGTCTCAGGGGAGGCGCCGCTATCGCGGAACAGAAAAACTCAAGAGAGCAGGATGACGCTCCACCCCTTGTCCCGCGGTCCAGACGGCCAAGGAAAGGGTTTTGGGACATGGGGGAGTCTGGGTCTTGGCTGGGACCACCACCCAATCGCGGGTCGCGTATCCCTGTGGGCGTGGACCAGATGGGCAAGAACCGTGGTTTAGCCAGCAGGTAGGAGCTGTCGAGGCACCGCAGCAGTATCATATGTGGGCGGAAGCTGCTTCAGCCAACATCAGCAGAGTGTACGCGAGCTTCTCCATGCAGGCTGAGGTTTTTCTGCTAAATCGAGCAGGCCAAGAGGCCTCATAAAAGAGGCACGTGTCCCAGGACAACACTTTAGAACCTGATCGCGGCAAAACCGCCGGGACATCCTGGACTCGCGAAGGAAGTATTTTCTGGGGAAATTCATGATGGTGTGGTTTCCACATGTCCCCTTTTATACGCTTCCGAGGCTTGCGGACTCCAAAAAGGCCGTTGACTTCGACAATCGAGATTCCATGCATTAGCCTGTCGAGTTTAGCTAGAACTTGAGCGCGCGCGAATTGCGTGATGGCCTCCTAGTTATATGTAGATACGCACACACACATATATATATGTATATATATACATATATGTATATATATGTATATATACATGCATATCTACATGCGCACATGCATACATACATACATACATACATACATACATACATACATAGATGCATACGCACATAAATACACAAACGCATACATACATACACAGAGTGATACTGTATACATATAGCGGGGGAACTGGGCCAGGGGGGGGCTGGGGGCGCAACCAGGACCGCAAACTTGGGACCCCAGGGTCTTGTCAGATTCTGGGGAGCCCCAGGTCCGTTTCAACAGCGCTCCGAGCGTCGTCACGGAGGTTCACGAGAGCCCTGTGTCGCCCCCAAAACGGCATCGAACGGCGCCAGAATCCCCGAAGGTGCACCTATAGCGCTCCAAGACGACCTCCAAGAGACCCCAATAGGCAAGTAATCGTCACATTCCTTAGGAAAAGTAAACTTGTGTCACTTTCGTTTCTGGAGCTGTCCCGGCAACGAAAGTTGCCCAAGAGTCCCAGCGGACGGCCCCAAGAAACCCCCACGAGGGCCCCAAGATTGCCCAAGAGAGCCCAAAGACGGCCCAAGAGGCGCCCAAGAGGCGCCAAAGATTGTCCAAACCAGCTCCAAAAGGACCCCAAGAAAAACTTAAAATGGGAAGTTCCAGCTGACATTTGAAGCCCTCCGACCCCAGAGGGTCCCCAGGGCCGCCATCAGGCCCCCGAGGGGCCCCCAAGAGGCCAGAGGACGAACCCCCGGAAGCCCCGAAGACCGCCCCAAGACGGCCTCCAAGGGTTTCAGACGGCCAGAATTGCTTGTGGGGCGTGTTTTGCTGTGCTGCGCTGCTCCTTTGAAACTGCGGTTGGTTTCGATCGGCTGCGCAAACTTTGGTACAACGTTCCGTCGCATTGTCGTTTTCAACGACCGCGGTGAGTTGCCGTAAGCGTTCTCAAAATAAACACAATCCGACCCGTCAGGGCGACCACCGTTTCAGAAAAAGCCAACAAGCGTTTCAGAAAAAATGCCGTTTCTGAAAAAAACAGTATCGCCTCAGAAGGAACACGTTCCATTGCAGAAACAACAGCTACCGCGTCAGAAACACAAATTGTCCTCTCAGACAAAGCAGCGGCCGTTTCAGAAAATGCGTTGATCGTTTCAAAACATTTTATCGGATTCCCGTGTTAGATACCCGCCGTTTGAGAAAACACATGGACATGTTCATATGTTCCGTTTCCTCCCGGTTTTGTCTTGGAATTGGCGTTAAAACCCGACCGGATTGGATACATAATCGAAGTCGGAAGCAGCCGACATTGCAACCAAAAGATGGGCCAATACTCTCGTGCTGCATGGATAGAATTCTTCACCATTGACCGTATGCCGCAATCCATGGCAACAGATCGCGTATCTACATTCAGGTGTGTGTTGTTCCTCTTCTACCCTGCAATTTTCTTCCCAAGTCTTCGCGTCCCTGGTTCCCACTTTGCAAGCATCTCACGGTTTTTTTGTTGCTTAGCTGTGCGGCGCCACCCGCCTAAAGTTTGTGGTTTTGTATGGTTGCTCCATTTGTTCGTTTGATACAGTTTTTTATGATGCTTCCTTCCGCGTTTGACGCGTGCGGCTCGCAGAATTTTTACAGCCTGGTTGTCCAGCATTTTCGGCGGAGGTTCTTTTTCGAGCCACCAGGAATTCGAGTAGAGTAGAAATATCTATAACGTAGATTGTGCCGTTCGTAGTGGGCATTTATTATGCGGGATTTTGAAAGATGCAACAACTATTATGAAACAAATGTTTGTCCAGAGGTACACCTTTGGCCAGAACTCCCGGGTAAGGCCGCCCGCGACGACGAGAGCACGTCGGAGAGAATATGGGGTTTTGACAACCAATCAGGGTTGGAAGTTGTTTTCTTAAATTGCGCGCGTGTTTTCCCACCTTGCAAGTTTTTGTGGGACACCGGGCGCGCGTTTTCCCAAAGCCTTCATAAATTTCGGCGGTTCTCACTGCAGCACGCTGGCTGTTGTTTTGTATTATTTTTTTCTGGCGCGGTTCTTACCGTTTGTCGTCTAAGCGGATTGGAGAAGCACATTATCCAAAGCAATATGCGCAATAAGGCAAACGCGAGTTGGGTTTGGTTGCGCGTGTCTGCAGGATTGCAGAGACGATTGT